CAGAGACAACAAATCCTCCAGCTTCTTATCAACCTATTGCTGTCCTGAGCCCAACACGGTGGTGGAAAAAGCTTTTTTATGCACAATCACAGGCTTTATAATTCCTGAGAAGATCATCCAGTTATTGGAGCAACTGTGGTAAGGGCTGACAGGATAACATTTAGTATAACACTTGTACTCAAAACTTCTTATTTGAAATCACTTTTAAATACTTTTCAGTTGGAAATAAATAGCTAAATATATAAATGAAGACTTTTTTTAATTAGGAAATGAGCTGGAAGCAGACATCAGCATTAAAAAATTATAAATTATAATTTTATAATTTACAATTATAAAAGCATTAAAAATAATAAACAATTTTGGATGCCTCAAATCTGAAAAAGCCTGCCATGTATTCTAGTTATGACTTTGGTTTTTATCTGAATTTCTAAGAAACTGTGGTTGTATGGTACTCCTACATCTTTAAAATGTGGAATGGATAATATCTGGCTTTGATTATTCATAATCTATTTCCTCTCTGGTGGTAAAAGTATTTGTGTCAAGCATAGCCTTAGACTACATTACTTTCTCCAATGTCTTTTTTCTTCTCTGATAGCAATTGTTCTCATTAAATGTTCAATTTTCTGAAAGAAAATCCTGTAGCAAAGTCAGAATTGCTACTTTACAACTTAGAACTTTTTCTAATTGCTACAACTTGCGGATTTACCATGTATAAAATTATGGTAGGAATAATAGATAGTCAGTCTTACTTTTTTCCCCTAAGCTTTTCTGGGTATTTTCTTTGGAGTTTATTTATTATGGACTAAACTTTTTAACTGTTAATGAATTTTCACTAAAGTGTGTCTTTGATTGTTTTACTTTATACTGTAGACTTGAATGTGCTGCCCATTCCTTTATAATCACTGATTATCTTGTCTTCTTGCTTGCAGTTGCTATTTTGGTGAACCAAAACTGGCGTATTGGCTGACCTTAACTGTGCATGGCTTGTCCACAGAAGAAGTTCTCTAATAATCCCTTGTTACTGACAGAAAATTAATAAAATATTTTTTATACATGTAGTTATGTAACAGATTAAGTACTAAGAGACTGTTCATATTTTTGTTATTTGTAGCCAATGGAAGGAATGGATTTTTGTTTCTTCACTGTCATACAATGCCTTCTGAAAAACTTCACAAAACTTCACAGCTTTCAGGAAAAGTTAAGTTTTTGAGAGTTTTTCTCAGGAATTGACTGTAGGTGGTCCTCTTTTCCAGGAGCAAATTTGGAATTTGAAAGTTAGCTTAACAGATTGCTAGCTAAAATATTTGACAGGAAAGCCCACTTTGGGATTGTTTTATTTATTTACATTAAAGATCTGCAAAACCTTTATATCCCTGTTTAAGATACTTCAGCTTGCATGCTAGCAAAAAAATCAAAGGGGGAGATGTGTTCTCCCTGATTTGGTAGGTGCTAGGAGAATAAAGGTGAGGAGAAGGTGTGTGGCACTGGGAGGAGCACCCATGGAAAGTGGAAATAATGGCTTACTGACCTGCACCCCTGATTTTGCAGATCACAGTTGGTTATGTTTCCATAAAAACCAGAAGTATGTTAATGACAGTGATGTAAAAGTCTGCTGTTTCCTTTCTTAATTGACCTACACACACACGGTCTCTACTTTAAAAAGGAGGGTGTGGTTCTTTCTTACAGGGCAACTCGTGGAGCTGAGTCCCACTGTGATGTTACAGACACATTTCTGGGAAGAATGCCATGGACATACCCTCACACAATGCACTTGATGTGAAACAGGTTTCATTAACAACAAGTAGTAATGCTGAGAGCATAGGCAGCTATAAAGAGCCCACGCTACTCCTGTTGGAATCCATGGAAAGGTGGATGGTGGTTTGGGGAAGTTGGAATTTGGGGTTTGTTTTAAGGAGTGGGTATGTATCATTAACGTACCAATGCAGTGCTAAAATTGAAGTTTGAAAGTGTCTGTTGAGGAATTAATGGACTTTCATAAACGAGTAACAAGAAGCATCTTCCTTTTTCCTCTTGGCCAGAAGGTCGAGTTTTGACTTGAGCCTTCCTGGAGGCTACACCTGTAGCAAAATGCTAATACAAAGTTAAAATCCCTAAATTTTGATGGAAAATTGAAGTTTGTAGCTTCAGAGCTACTAAATGTAGGCCCTGTGAATGTGATAATCTTTCCACCAGATTCTAGTAAAACCTTTTCCTCAACAGTGTATGTAGGCATAAACACAAGTGTAATATATACTGCTTGAGGAAAAAAAAAACCCAAAAACAAAACCCACTTGTATGGGTGGGTTTGCTTCCCATAGTGGTTCCAGAAGCAGCTGTGGGACTTGACTCTGGAGTGGCAGCAGTAGGACCAGGTGAAGTGGTTTTTCTAATGAGTATTTGGTTGCAAGAGTAGGTTGGGCTCCTTGGTGGGAGAAGGAGCTGCTGAAGTGCCAGTGGGTTCACAGTGATTACCTCAGTGAGACCATTCTGGAGGGCAAGCTGAGAACAAGGATTTCAGCTCCCAGTTCTCCTCAGCATGTGAGTATTAATTTTCCTTTTTTTTTTTTTTTTTTTCTTGTGGATGTCTAGGGAAATCCCAGCAGATTGGTCAGGAGTTATCTTCACCTCCTGTGTTGGTAGGAAATGGACTGCAAGCATTTGTCAAAGCTCAGTGTTGTAGTGGCTGTGCTGCATCCTACAGTCCATAGCTGTCTGCTGGTGGTGGCTTCAAATGGCTTTTGCAGCTAAGGAAGGGATGAAATACTGTCTGTGAATCCTGTAATTTGAGATTCTGGGTTGGTTTCTAGCTTTCTCCTATTTTCCTTAAACTGGCATAAAGTAAAATTGAAAAACCTCGTGCTGTTAATAGACTTTGCAGATGGTCTAAGGCTCTGTGAGGTGATACTGTGCTAACCACATCCATACTTCCTAGCATGGACTCACCTCTAAGGAGAGAGGCCCTCCTGTGCTTGCTGGTTTCTGTAGCTGGAGAGAAGAAAAACTGGGGTGGAATTCACTCCTATCTTACCTCCTGCAAAAACAATGAACCTGAGGGAATATTTTTTTCCTGGGAGGAGGTACAGCAGCCTGTTCTTTACCATCTGTACATCAGACAGATTACTGTGTCTCCCCAGGAGACTCCCAAGCATGGAGGAAACCCTTGCTGAGAAGAGGAATAGGAGGGCATTGCTCACATGTTTGGGGATCCCATTAGGAGGGAAGATCTGAGGCTGAGCCAGGTGGGCAGTAGTTCAAGGAGGAATTGGGCAGGGCACGTGAGATGGAGATAAAAGCTTTTGCCTTAGAATGAAAGATGGTTGCTGGTGATGTTCTTGCCCTGTGTGCCTGCCTGTGAGGGAGGACAGGAAAATGCAAAAGGTTCCTGAGAGCTGCAAAAGTAATGGGGAGCAGCTGTGCACCAGCTGCTTTTGAGATCAAAGGCGACTAAGTGCTTACTAAAAAATTTTGCCTCAGGGGAGTGTTTTATCTAGCATGAGGAAGGAGAGCCAAATATCTGAATGCAGAGACAAGCCTGAGGCAGGCTGGTTGTGTGAGAAGTAGAGGTTTTGTTGTCCTGGAATGCGGACAATGATAAGCCACTCCTTGAGAGCTAGGGAACTGCTCTGCTTTAACCTCAGCTTTTCTACTGAGCTGTGCAGTCCTGCCTCTCTGGTGCTGGATGGAGAGGGAATTTTGTTGAGAAGTTAATGGGGAGATAGGAGAACCCTCTGGAAATGGGCCACAAAGACCACATGCTTTTCCAGGCACACTGTATTTGACTGTTTATGTGTGTTCCTAGATTGGTGGGTGTGGAACAAATAGAGGACGAACTTTCTTGTTGACAAAGGAAGATTAAAGCTGAGGTAGTTGGATAGCATGTGTTACACAAAATCACTCTGAATAGAACATATCTGCCTTTTTGGTTTGCAAATGCTGCCTGAATCAGAAAGCTGTCTGGAGAAATAGAGGTATGTACCCCATAACAGTGTGCATCCCTTTGGGAAGAGTGGGAGACTAATGATGGTAATAGTACCACCATTGATGGCTGTGTTTGGGAAGGAATATTAGCATGAGGGGACTCTGAGAAAAGTAGAGATAAAGATGTGAAAGAAATTTCTTTCTCAGATTCCAGAGCTGCTGTGCTCGCAGAGGGAAAACAGCAAGACTTGGCACAGGTGGAGTTCGGGGAATGCAGGAGAGATAAGAACCTGTGCTCATCTAAGGCAGCTTGAAAGGGAGGTGACAGAGCTTAATGAAAGAGAAACACCAGCTCTCTTCTGGTTGCATCATGCTGTCATTTACTGGGAAATATCCATTTTGGAGAGGCTAGTCAATATGTAAATTTGGATGACTGGAAAAAAAAGCCAAGTTCGGATCTCATCAGCCTGGGGTTTGCATAGCAATTATGCAAAGTAAGTAAGGAAGTTTTCACAAAAATTGACCATAATGTTCTTGTTGGAAGTAATTTGTGTGCTTTTATTATTCCTTGCTGCCGGCTGCCTCTCTTTGGTTTACAGAGAAGTTACAGAAATGCCAAAAATTTGCAACCATCTTGAGATAGGTCAGGGCTCTGGTAGGACAAGACTCCGTTGATGTTGCTGTTAATTGCAATTAGCGCTGGACTGCTCACCCAGTGCTGCAGAGCCACGGTGGAGTTTTGCTCATGCAGGGAGTGCCCCTGCTACAGCTACTACAAGAGTAATGGTAAGGCAGACAAAAGACATAAAGGAAAAGGAGAACTTAGAGGGGTGTTTCTCTTCCCCTTCTCATGGGAGGTGGATAGCAAATCAGCGGCTGGTCTGGGATTAGAATGAAGGCTCTTTGTAGCTAGTCCAGTACTCTAGCTACTAGATTATAGTTCCTCTGATGCTGTTAATTAAAGATTAATGCATGCAATTGACTCTGTTTTAATGTGGCAGCTATCCTGGAACATGCTTGAACTGCTTCTCTTTATCATTTTTATTCAGAGTGGAGCTTAAAGACCAAAACTGGAGACTAATTCAATTAGCTGGCTATTAAATAACCACCACCTTCTGAATAGTAACAAGAACTTCAGAAATATCTACTATAAACTAAGGCAACTTCTTATAAAGCAGTGGCCTCTGTTTCACCCTTGGAAGTAGCTTCCAGCACTACTGAACAGTACTTATTTTAATGCAGCTGTATACAGGAGCAAAAAGGGGGAGCTAAAATGACCTTGAGCAGTTTTCAGCTTTCCAGAAAGCAAAGAGCAGGGAGCCTTGGCTAAGGCAAGTTTCTTTTAGGAGCCTTTCTTAGAACAATTTAGTTATTAGAATATGGATGTGCTTGACTTGGGTAATTGAAGAATAACCTAAGCAGTGGGATAGGCTCTTCTGAGCCCTACCCACCCCACTGTAAAATATAGATATATATTTTTAATAATATTATTAATATTAAGGCAGATGTCCAGGTTCTATAGATACCAAAAGCCTTTCTGCATCATCTGTCAGTAGGGCTACAGAGAATGCAAAGGCACAGCGTTTTATTGTGTAGTTACTGTTGAATAACAGCACATTTATTGATTTATGATGAAGACAAGTATTTCTAATTTTGTCACTGTTGAAGTTTTGAGCCCTATTCAGTGCTGCCAGGAGTATGCATTTTTTTAAAAGGCTTTATCTTGAGACTCCACAGGAAGCTAGTGCTACTACAAAGCAATTTCCAAAACTTTTTGTAGTTTGGCATGGAATAAAACCGTTAACAAGCTGGGCACTACTCTGTCATTTGGACAATGCCAATTCCTATTTATGAAGAGAGTTTTCTTCTTTGTTATTGGTGGGAATGAAGAATTTGAATGGTCAGCTTTTGCAGAGCAGACACAAAACCCAGCAGTGATACACTGGTCCTTGTGCCTGTTTTTTGATCAGATACTAAATCCATCTTTAGCTCTCCTGGTGTCAGAAAAAGGTGTTGTAGCCCCATGAAATTATTTAAATGTGCTCACGTATTTTTGAGCTTTGTGATTGTTGGGTATAATTTGTATCCCATAATTGACTTAAATGCCATATCATGTACTTGTGACTGATTTGACAGGAAGGTGGTGGTGTATTCCTGGTGTCACTGACGTCTGTGCTGCTGTTCAGGATTGCATGACTTGCATCTCTCATGTTAAATACTTGAGAATCACAGTCTGGTACTCGTGGGACCTCTGTGCCTGCCCTGATCTTAAAGGTCAGTAGGAATAGCTGGCATTTAGCAATTCAGTGTATGGATTTCCAGTTTCCATTAATTAAGTATTTAAAATTATATAAGCACCCTCAGATTATATCTGTAAAAAGCAGCAGTCCCTACAGAGTTTTGAAGACTTTAAAAAAGCAGACCATTGTGGTGTTTATGATATTTAATTTCCCAATAGCATTGACAGTCTTCAGGCTGGATACTTGGCCCCACAAAGAGCATTTCCTCTTCTTCTCAGAATAGAGAGGTGCAGAAAAGCGAGTGTGCTGGGTAGTGAGCTGCCTACACTAGCTGGGAAACAGTGTGAAGAATTACAGTGCTCTTTTGGATTCTAGTGCAGCCTGCGCTGGTGGAAATGGAAAATGGATAGAGGTTTTTTGGTTGTGTTTTTTTGGGGGGTGGGACAGGACTTGGGGACAGACAGTTTGAGATAGAAAGAGAAGGGTGCCTGAAGTGCAGTGGTAGAGACTTCTGGGTTTTACTTGTAGCCCTGGTAACAAATTGCTGGCTGACCTTCTACAAATAGCTCAGCAGTTCTGTGCTGCTCTGACACTTTCCCATTCAGTGCAACAGCCTCAGAGATGCTCCTTGCTTTGCAAAGCACTCAGAGAGCCATAGGTTACCATTTAGTCTTCACAGAATTTAACCCAGAACATGGAATTGGTGCTTGCCACATCCATTTTCCTCTGAAGACTGCTAATCAGAGCTGGGTGATTTTGGCCAGGGCTTCAGGACAAAACCAGTTCTATTTTTCCTCTACCTGCCCTGGAGGGTGCTGTAAGTGAAGGAAGTGGGATGGGGTTTACTCTGCTTAAGGCAAGGCTGTAATGTGCTGGAAAAACATGGATCAATTTAGTTAGCAGCATTGCAGAGAACGGAGGGATGAAGGGTAACTAAGGGTAACATGGAGCATTTGGGATATTTATAAAAATGTGAAATGCCTTTTCTTATTAAAGGAATGGTTGTGCATCATTAAAGGCATCAAAAGCGAAGTGGGAACATGCTTTGTGAATCAGGAGGAAGAGCAGTCCCTAGCAGTTGCTAATCTATTTATGTTCCAGTCATGCTCAGGGTCTGGCTTTGAGGTCTGCAGCTCTTGTAATTGCCTGGAATATGTCACTCTGCAGCAAGTTTCATTGTTCTGCTTTCCCTGAGAGGAAAGCTGGGATTTTTAGCTGTAGGACTTTGCTTTCAGTCGAGCAGAGAGAGACATTCCCGTGCATTGTTTTGCTGAAACACTATTAATTATGGCTCCCATTATAAGCATGTCAGTTCTATGTGATCTAGGCAAAAATTGATGCATTTGGTGGGAAGCAGCCAGACCTTTATTTTGGGGATTATACATGAGGTTTAGGAGCCAAGTTTTGATCCCTGTTGATAGAAGTCCCTTAAACTTTCCAGAATCAGTAGGATACTTTTTTGGTTCCCTGATTTCTCAAAGGGTCAGAGACTTATGTTTTTTTCTTTCCCTTTTCTGTACTTCTTGCTGCCAGGCTTTCTTTGCTATTCCCCAAGCAACGCTCAAAACATTTAGACATTAAGCTTCTCATTAAATTAGAGTGAAATCAGAGCTCCGTGTCTTGCAAAAAAGATTTAGAGGGGCAAGATTCAGCAGGGATTGAACACGTTTTCAGGAAGCGATATAAGATGTGGTTCAAAAGGGCTTCCAGCCCAACCTCACCCCTGTTACTTTGCATGGGAACCTCTCTCCTCTCTGCCTTCCCTCGAAGAGAAGTGAGTGCTTTTTTAAATAATGAAGAATTCCTGTAGCTTTCTTTCAAGTCCCCAAGGTATTGTTGACCGTGGGAATCTCTCGTATAGCTCCTATGGAAGTGGGAGCTTGGAGCGTAGCCATGACACTTCCAAGTAGGAAAGCACACAAGCTCTAGGCAAAACTCTTCACTGGTGTTGGTAGACTGCGTGGAAAAGCCAGTTTTTATTCTATAGATTTGTTTCTTTCGTGAATGGCAATCTGTGCTGACTTTTCCTCTCTGGGGGCTCAGAGTGGAGTTGCTGCTCAGTTTCAACTGAACGTGAGATTTTTTTTTTAGTTCCAGATGCTGCTCTCTCTGCTTCTTTAATGCATTGCTGGATCAAATGGATTATATGCTGAAGGATCTCTAGAGTGGTGAGCTGTGAAGAAAATGTCTTTAACATGACTGTCAGAAGGTAGGCGTCCCCATGCAGGGCTACTTTGGTGCTTTGTAATCTGGAGCAGCTCTTGTCTTACTCCAGTATGCACTTGTGAATTGGTTCAGGAAGTTCAAGTCCTCCTGGATTCACTGACATCCGTTTCTAAAAGCTGAAAACTGCAGCGGTAACATAAGATGGATATTTGGTTGCAGCTTTTTCAATAACACAGAAATGGCCTAATGAACCAGACTTTGTCCAAAAGGTCACAGATTCTTGTCCCTGTAACTTGTGAGGACATGGCAGAAGCACCTCAGGTTCTTAAGGTGTGCAGCTCATACAGATAACTACTCTAAATGAGTTGTGGATGGCCCCCTTTTAACCTCTGAATTCAAAGAAGTCCAAAAGGATAATGAAGAAAATGAATTTAGAAATTGGTCTTGGACAGAGACCAAACATGAAAAACTTTGCCTTGAAGGTTTTTGATGATAATCTAGAAAGATATGCAGTATTTTCCAGACATAAGATGAAGCTCTGATGTGTTTCTCTCCAAACTCATCTCCAAACAATCTGTCAGTCTCATGGTTATAAGAGAACAGAATGTTTAGATAGTTGATTGCAGTGTGCATAAAGAACTCTCTGGTTCTTCCTCAGTGACCTGAATTTGGTTTCTTTCTGGTTTTTTTCTTCCTAATGAACAAACAGGTTACAATATCAATACCTCTGAGCATGTTTAAGTTTATTCCATTCACAATCAAATGAGATGAGATACTGTTTTGCTCTAAGACAACATCTACAAACACAAGAATCTGTGCAAAAAAATCAAGAAGCTGATGGGTGTTGTACAAGCTCGTTTGGTTTCTTGACCTCATACAACTATGGCAAGAAAAAAAAGCCTCTTGGTAATTGCTCATGAAAGGCATTTAAATGCTTTTGTTAATCCACCTGCAAGCATGCAGGCTTATAAATAAGTACTGCTGTGCTTGGGTGGAATCATCTGGTGACAGCAGCCCCTAGGGCTGAGTTCTCTCATCAGCTCTGAGTTCTTCTGTGTGACCCCGAGCTGGGGTATATTTTTCTGGAATCAGATTTGTCAGAGGATCCTGTTTCCATTTAGAAGTACAAATAAGTAGCAGCTTCTTGTGGAATTCAGTTTCTCTTGGCTTCACTCATCTTCAGTTTGCATTTTTTTTTCTTTTTTTGGTCTTTTGACCTCCACAGATGTTTCTCTATGTCTGTAATTTGAAATTATTACAGTCAGTTTTATTGCAGGGGGTATTAACTTTATTCCTGCTGTCTAAACCCTTCCTGCATGAACTTTATGGATGTTCTCAGTGAAGGATTCGCTGTGGGTTGCTATGGTCATACAGAGCAAAGTGATGCAACGTCTGAGCACTCTGCCCAATTTCTAATCAGTTCTCATAGTGGACATGAAATGCCATAGCCTGCTAGCAGCATCATGTCAAGTGCAGTACTAATGTGTAAAAACAATCTTTGTTTTCTGGTGCTTCCTTTAAAAAATAAGAAAAAAAGCTCATGGAGAACAACAGCAAAGCTGCATGAAAGATTTTGCTCTTACTACTAAAGGGAGGTGTCAGAAGAGGGAAATGCACTGCAGAGTGTTTCACCCAATCCAATGTTTTTAAACGTGATTGGCCTTTTTGAAGAAGGATCAGAAATGTCCTTGCCCCACAGTGCTGGAGTTGGACAAGCAGCCTGTTTACTTGTGTCCCTGTAGCAGTTCTGAGGTTGTTGCTGCCAGCAGGATAATGTCCTCTTTACCAGGTAAAGGGAATAACTGGGGAATTATCAAGGAGATCCAGCACTCCTTGTTTTCTTTCTCTTTCAATAGCATCTGGCTTGCCTTGGTGATGGAAAAGGTTAGCACATGGGAAAATCATGAAGCAGACTGTCAAGAGCAGTAACAGTGTGAGACAGTGAAAACCAGTTTCAAGATACTGTCAAGAGCCTGGGGAAGTTTTCTGGGAAGGGAATTGAAGCTGACCCAAGAGAAGTCTGGACTATTAAGTTAATTATCCTGTCATGAGGTTTTTGAAAGCAAAGATGGAGCTCCATTAGCATGTTGGCTTCATGGCAAGTGAGAGCTGGCTGGAGCCTGTTCATCTGAATGTATTTTTGGGATGAATTAGAGTCTAAAAGCCTGTGGGTTTTGTTGAAAAATTACATTTTGAAAGAAGCAAGTTGGCTGCTAGGATTCAGAATCACAACAGAGCCAAAATAAGCTTCATATTTCTTAACCCCCATGTCACTGTGAGGTCCAGATTATCCCAGGTGATAGGCAAATGCACAAGGATGGAGCACTGTGAGCTGCCAGGTTTTGATGAGAAGGGGTCAAAGGAAAATAAACCACAGTTATCCATTATATAAATATATGGCAGGTATGAAAAAGTCTGAGCTATTCAAACCTGATAATGTTTGTGAGGAGAGGCAATAAGAATAGGAAAAAGAGGTAGGGATATGAGTTAACTGAAAACTCAGACTGTGACTTCAGCATTTGGCACAAGTCAGCAGAATAAATAAAGCACAGAGATGCTGGGGGGCAGGGAAAGAGACGTGTCCAGAGCAGCATAAACAGTGAGTCTTGAGCCAGGGTACTGTGCATTGTGTTAGCAGGCATCAAGTTGGGTTTGTGGGAAAGATGGATAACAGCAAAACAGACTAAAGGATTTGACTAAAGGCAACCAAAAGATTGTGCTCCAGTCATTTTTGTATCCTGGTGTGAATCAGATGCAGCTCCAGGGGACTTCAAGCATGAATACTGACCTAATGCTAGGAGAAAAATGGGCTTTCTTTTTATTAGAAAAGATGCAGATTAGATAAAATTGTGATTTATGTCATTCTGAGCATGTGGGGAGCTGGTGTCAAGGGCTGAGAAAGCAGTATATTGTAAAGGCTCAAGGAAAAAAAGAACTGGATCCTGAGGGACTGCTTATTCTCTTTTGATACAAAATGATCATTAGGAAATATAAACTTATTAAAATTAGGTAGTAAATACAATTTTGGGCAGTTTATAGCTAACAGTGCTCAAGGCCTACTTCATGTCAGTGTGAATGAGCACAATAATGAGCCTAAACATCTCAGTTTCTCTAATGTTGTATTGTAGCAGCTCTGGGTAGCTCAAACAAGTGCCAGGCTTCCTCCAGCACCCAGGTTCCTTTTCCACATACTGCTGGCCCCTTCAGCTGGGAAAGGTTTTATATATCCTTGTCAAAAACTGCTCTGAGTGTTGAAGTTCTGCTTCCAGGGTGGTTGGACAAAGACAGTGCAGCAGGGAGGGATGAAGGGGGTTAAATACTTGGACAGATACTGTAGTGATCCATAAGATGAGGAAGAATACAGTGCCCTTATGTGGCTTACCAGCCTTACAGGGGTTCCTCTTTCATGTGGCTCCTGCCTCTTCCCTCAGGAAAGCTGAGGGATCTCATTTCTTATAATCCTTTATTCTGTATGATTCAATCAGGGGATGTCTAGTTCCTCCTAAAGAAAGAAAACAGCTGTATGGTTTAACCCTTTCTAGGCAGGAAAAGCCTGTGCAGATCAAATAACAGTCTAAAATAATTTCACTGTTCCACTTCCTGTTTTTTAAAAAAAAAAAATAGTTAAAAGAAAAAGTTTTTTGCTTACCACAGAGGACATCAAGGACTGATATCCCCCTCTAGAGTTCCTGGAATTCCTTGTGAAAATATCCCAATCATATATAATCTTGCACCAAGAACCTTGAAAATGAAGCTTCTGAAGCTGTGTCAGGATGCCTCGGTCTGCAGTTTTGTGAACATTTCTTGTTATCTCAAGTGTTGAATTCAGAAATTGTACTGCTACAATGGTAGGTCATTGTGACAGGGGGATGAAACCGAGTTTAAAGTTGTCATGATGCAAAAATAATTGCATGACTTGTTAGTGAAACTTTTAAAAAAAGAAAATTAGAGAGAAAAATGTAGCTAAAATTCTTATGATGGGCAGAACTCTGAACTTGTTGGGCAAGTTATCCATGCAGAATATGTATTTGACTACTGAATATTATTCATTGGGTGAGTGTATTTGCTTATTATGTGTCATAAACATATTTTAAATAAGGGATTTTAAAAATTTAAGCAAGATCTATTTCCTGGTTTTTTACTGACAGTTACGTGTCTAAATCTCATGGTTACTGTCAGAAATAGAAAACTTCACTACTGTTTTAAAGCCTATGTTCATTAGTTTGCTCAAATAACAAAAAGTAGATATGAGGGAAAAACCTGTAACTGACATTTTTGAGAAGTTGGAGGTCATTTGGCTTTGCTGCAGGGCTGTGCAAATGGTTATATGCTTGTCAGTTAAACTGGTTTGGGGTTTTTTTACCCATTCTGGGCACCCAGCCAGCCTAACTTACAAAACTGCAATTATCATGATTGTTAGGAATAGTTCCACTTCTTCCCTTGGATTTCTTCTGCCTTGCTTCTTTTCTTCTTTGAGGAAGTCTTAAATTTTCCTGTCAGTTCTAAGGAGACCCTGATTTTCCCCTTAGGGGTTCCCACAGAGACACAGAGGCCCTCCAGCTCCCTGATAAATGTAATCCTACCAGAGGCAGCAACAAGCCAGAGTTTCACTCCACAGGATCAAATCCCCAACCTACAAAGCCAGGTCTTGCTTCTGGGAGACCCACAGTGCTCTGGCTTTTTTAAATTTTATAGTTCAAAACAGAATTCCTAAATACATTTTGAATTTGAAGGCTGAGAGGCTTTGGCATTTGCATCATTCCTCATTTATGACCGTGCTGCTTCTGCACTGGCGGTTGGTCAGTGAAAGCTTCCAAGGTATTTTGATGCTCCTCCACAAAACATGAATCAAAGAGAAAGAGCTGGCAGCGGATGTTGGCCACCAGCAGCCTTTGGGCTGCAAGTGCCACGGTCTGAGGACACCTGGGGTAGGGCAGCCCTTACTGCAATCTTGCCCCATGTTCTCCAGAAGGAAAGAGCCACTTCTTCTTTCAGGCTCCTTTTCACATCTAGGATGTAGGTGTGGATGGCTTTAGCTATCAGGGAGAGAACGTGGAAGGTGCGGTTTTGTGTTGTTGGTGTGAGCTGGCATCAAGCCTGTGAGGTGTTGATAGTGCCTTGATCTGGTGGGGAAAGTGGGAAAGTCTGTAACTTGAGCAGTGCTGCACTCTGCTCTTTTATCATCAGTGATTTGCAGGGTCAAGCATGGCAGCAGTCCAGGCACGGGTGCTCCTCAAACAGAGCTCCTGCTGTGCCCGATAGGATCTGCAGATGCAGAGGACGCTTAATCTTGGCTGTCATCCCTGTGGAGGAGCCGTGCCTCTTTCCTGTGTCACACGTGCATTTGGGCTGGGATGCTCTGATTCTCCTTTGTCCTCCGTGCCAGAGGTTTCAGTTTGAGGCGGGGGCCTGGAGGGGAAATCCAGCGCTTATCTCACTCGTACCTTGCGCTGCTGTGCCTCAGTGATAACACACCTCTGGCTGCCGGCGCTGCTGCTCTTCTTCACCAGGAGGAACCAAGAGGAGCTTTGGAAAGTCAGAGATGGGGAAATGATGATGGTGTGTCTGGTTGTTGTATAGCGCCAGTTGTACTGTCCATCAGAAACTTCCTGTGTTCAAACCATCTTCCTGGGATACAAAACTCTGCTGAGGATTTCAGAAGTCGCATTTATTTTCAGCCAACCAAACCATGTCAGGAACTTCTGGACAATTTTTATAGGACTCATTTAATTATTTCATATGTATTAGCACTACAGACTGCTGTATTGCTTAGAATCACAGGGCATCCTGAGTTGGAAGGGACCCACAAGGATCACAAAGTCCAACTCCTGGCCCTGTACAGGACCATTCCCAGGAGTCACACCATGTGCCTGAGAGCATTGTCCAAACGCTTTTTGAACTCTGTCAGGTTTGGTGCTGTGACCACTTCCCTGGGGAGCCTGTTCCAGTGCCCAACCATCCTCTGGGGGAAAAGCCTTTTTCTAATATCCAAACTAAATCTCCCCTGGCACAACTTCAGGTCATTCCCTCAGGTCCTGTCCCAGCTCAGTGGCAAGACTGTAGTTTTAATGCCTGTGTGTCAAGAACTGTCTAGAAGAGATGTGCCACGTCTCTTGCTCAGTGACTTTTGTTCCCAAAGCATTAACTTACCATGTCAGCCTTGGGTTGGAAGCAGCCTGCTGTTAGGAAGTGCAGTGAGGGAGCTGTATGGCATTTTAAATGTAGGCTAACCACAGATTTCCAGAAACTCCTCACTTATTTTCAGGTTTTGAGGTACCTCATTAATATCATTCTAGCACACCTACTGCTTTTTCTTTCCCTTATTGAAAACTGTGTTTTCAACCAATTATGTTTAAACTGTTTAATGTCTGTGAAAAATGTTTGCTGATCTAACCTGCTAAACCTGTAGCAGAATGTAAAGGAATTAAATGAATGTGAAAAAGTACATTTACCTTCCTCTGAATGGCTGGTGTGACCATGGGGATATCCATTTTAGGGGAACCTGAACTCACAGCGGGCTATATTTTTTTTCAAGTATTAAATGCAGTAGCCTATCTTCTTCTGCCAGGACCTTTCCGAATGATCAGGGATCTGAATTATTTTTCAAGGGTTTATTCTGAGAGTGGGTTGTGAGAGGTTTCCAAAAATCCTGCTTTAGGATTAACAATTTGCAAAGATGCTCTTTTGAAGGCACTGGAACCAATTCTGCTGCCCCACAGACTATTATCAGTTTCTTCAGATGTTTATGATTCCAGGGCAAAGTAAACATGTACTTATGAGCTGAAAGAGGTTATCCAAAATGTCCAAAAGATCATGGAATTTTTGCCCCTGGCTCCTCCATCAGACTGGCTGGTGTGGTTTATTTTTCTACAAGAAAATTGATGTCAAGACCTGACCTCTTTCTTTCTCTTCCCTTGGATGCATGCAATTTTCTGCCAACATGTAATTCCTTCAGAAATATTAACAAATGAAAGTGTGACTTCAATTAGCATTATGTCATACCTAAGAATATCTTCAGAAATCCTTCTGTGGGTGTGACAGCCCAGCTCTTGATACAACCAAGTTAAAACTGCAGAGCCTTATTTTGACATGATTGGTTCTGAGAAGCCTATGAAAAACTTCCAGTGGTCATGGTGACTTCTCTTTATTTTTTTATTTTGATCCCCTTGATACAAGGGGTCACTCAGTTTATGAACTCCCAGCTTTGCACTGTTATAATTTTGTTAACTGCTATTTAGCATCCAAAATAATGCTTCCAGCGTGTACATTCTGGGTTTATCAAGTTTCCAGCTTAAATCCCCACCCATCTTTCTGAGCATCTAGGCAGAAGAGGTGGGTGTGTGTGTACAATGGAGAGAAGGAAAGAAATATGGGGCCATTACATTTTTTGACATTTGAATATGGAAAGAAAACTGTACCATTTTATCACTTTTACTTTACATCACATAGTCCAAGCATGATTTGTGTTTGTTTTGCTTATTCCTGGCATAGCAGATGGTTTTAGGTTTTTTTGGTTTTTTTAGTAATATTGTTTGGTTAAAGATCTCAACCCACCTTGGCAAGCTCAGTGAATCCAAGAACTTTGTATTGGTAAGAAACAGCATCTTATTTCACAGAAGTTGCTACTGTCAGCAGCTGGTTTACTCAGCACGTGATTTTGGGGGTGGCCTGAGCGAGTGCCTTTTCCTACTGAGATAAATCATATAGTTTGGTCTGGCAGACAGATTATTTTGCTGGAGAGGGTTATGAGTCTTGGAAAGCAGCATTGAGGAAACACTGCTTTATTAGAACATCATGAGTTGACTTCTCACTCCGCAGAGTTGCACTGTTGCTCTATATTGAGTGTTTAGTCAGTCATACCCAGATGACGTGGTACAGATGAGTTACATTGGCTCCAAAGGCTCACACTACCCATTTCTTCTTGGTAGTCCATGTGGTTCTGCTTCAGTATGACTGCTGCATGGCTGCTCAGCTTCATTGAGTGAGGCAGAATTTGGAAGAAAATGTGAAATTTCAAGGAGTTGCTGAGGTCAAAGCCATGTTTCGGGTATAAGGCACGGATTTGTTTCGGTTAAGTATTGTAATCCTACAGAAAATAAATTTCTTCTTCTTTGAATTAATAACTTTTCTTTATGTTTTTTCGAGGCAGGGTAAAAGATGACCCCAGTTTTACTGAAATGAGCTGACCTCACTCCTGTGACTTGAGATGTACTGATGAGTGCTCTGGGCTTCGGTACCATCCAGCAGAAGTTGGATTCTCAAAGACTAAAAGCCTGTAGTGATCCAGACCCTGATGACCCTACAGTCCAAACCAGTGAGGAAGTTTCTGATGATGACTGCAGAGTTGGAAAATGGATGCAAGCTGGTGTTTGTTTCTTTTTGCAGCAAGGCAGAAGCTGGAAGGAACCTCTGGCAGCCATCTGGTCCCACCCACCCCTCCTCAAGCTGGACCACCATGAGCTACCCAGGACCATCTTCAGAGGTTTGAGTACCTCCAATGCTGGAGACTCCACAGCCTCTCTAGGCAACCTGTGCCAGTGCTCAAATCAGCTTGACATTAATGAAGTGTTCCCTGCTTTTCAGAGGGAGCCTTCTGTGCTTCAGGGTGTGCCCACTGCTCCAGTGCTGTCACTGGGCAGCATGGGACAGAGCCTGGCTCCATCCTCTTTGCACTGCCCACTGGGTGTTTAATTGCATTGATGAGATCCTGCCCAAGCCTTCCCTTCTCTGCATTGTCCTTCCAGGAGGTATCAGGGTGGCTGAAGTCCCCTATGAGGACCAGGGCCTGAGACTCAAAACCTGGGTTTAGACACAGGTACTGATGATGTCCCCCAGACTCTGTGGAACAGGTATGCATCCGTCTGCTGTTCTTGTCAACCATAGCTTTTCCAGAACTGAGCACAATAAGAATGACAACTTCAGGGAGAATAGCTGCCACTCCTCTACTTCTTTCTGTAGTTCCTTTTACTTCCTACACGCTGGTTTTTTGTTGGTTTCTAATTCCGCTTATTTGTTGTAATTTTCCCTGTGCAGGAGGGATGAGGAGGACCAGAATTTCATCACCATCTTCCCATTTTGCATCACACTTCAGTATCTTTGTCCATCAAACTGCTTTTCATCCTGTGAGTACCTCAAGAGCTAATTATATTTGGAGTTTGTTTGTTAGGAAGCTTGGTGCAGAGGGCTGTGAGTGAAGTATTTTCTAGAGAAATCTGAGGGGCAGTACAAGGCAGGACCATGGTGATCTTGTACTATACAGGCACTCTCCTTCTAGATAATCCTTTCCTTGGAAAGGCAAGTTCACCAGTGTGCCATCTCCAGTAGAACTGAGCTCTGGTGCTCCATGACTGGAGGTTGCCAACTCTGATTCTGCTGCAAGCTCTGTAAGTCCGTGTTGACAGCTACTGGCAGCTCCTTAGGATGGAAAATCATGTGGCAAACTGTAATTGAGTTGAAGCATTTCTTCCCTCCTACTCTCTCCTCATACTCTCAGAAGCACACTTGTCATGTCCCAGATGAATGTGAAAGTGCCTTAACTTCCAGCAACAAACCTAGGTGTAGAGCATTGGCTCCATTTATTGAAGTAAATTTTACCTGTCCATTTGGCCAGAAATATTTTATTTGCTGCCTCATTCCCTAACTGGTTGAAGTCCTACTTTATCCACTGTTTGAGAAAAGTATGAACTCTTATCAGTGTAAAGTTAAGCAATTTATAGCTCAGTATTATGTGTTTTCTCTATTATTTTCAAGTACCCCTGACTTTAGGAAATGAATCCCACCTAAACAGGTAATTCAATTATCCTGAACCTTTTTTCCATAACAGTAACGGTGCAGCTTCTGAGTTAACAGGGAAGTGTCTCTTAGCAATGTTGCCAATCCAGTAGAGGATTTGCTCAGAGGAACTGTTTCAAATCCTGTATTTGTGCAAATTAGGGAGTGTGAGTACAGAAAAATTCTACAGGCAGGTTTTGATCTTCAGATTACCCCAAAATGTTGTAGGTTAACTTACCCAGTGTTAAGACCTTGCTCTGATTTTTGCTGAAAGTAATGCATCAGCAGAAGGTGTGATTAAGTGTACACAGGTGGCTTTCATACAGCTCCAAGTACCTCCACCACATTGGGTTTCTGCTACTCTTTGCTCATCTGGACAAAAGTTGTCTTATTTACTTCCAAAAATAAAGACAGAACTTCCGTGGGGAAAGCCTTAGTGGTTAGTGCAGTCCACTGGCCAATGCTCATCAGTTTGCTGTTTCAGGTAGTGTCTGGGCTCTTGCCTATTTCAGAAGGAACTCAAATGTCATGGAAGGACTCCTACGTTACATTATCAAGGCTCCTATGCTACTTTCAAATTTCAGCACCAACACAGCCAGTTGCCTCACAGCTTGTCTCCATGTTCTATAACTAATTAAGTAAATCGTGTAGTAGCGACTACAATCAGGATAACTGATAGTCTTGACAGGAGATGCAGGGGTCAGGAATGAGAAGGGTAAAAGTAGCTGAATTTTATATTCCAGTACCATTACTCCTAACTCTATTAGCCAGTGACTAGACAAACAGGAGATTTGCCTTCATCCCTGAAGGAGGAAAAACCAGGAAACTTTTATATTTTAAAAAAAACCCAAAACAGCCCTATGAAAGTTCTCTTTGCAGTCATTTAGAAAGATTCTGTTTCTAAGCTCTTGCATTACATGTGGGTTTAACAATTTGTGCTGCTCCAAAATGCTCCAGATTCACGCGAGAATTAACACAGAAGAGCCATTTTGAAGTACCACTACTTCTGGGAGGCTGTGACCCTAACCTGGAGTCTCTTCTGTGAAGAAAAGCCTTGAAAACACTCATTCAAAAACGTCTTCAGTAAGTTTTTATGATCTCTCAGGTTTTCTTATTTGAGGTCTATAACCTTCCTGTCTTTATTATGGCTTTGCAGAGACTGAACTAGACTTGACTGTAACCTTCACACACAGCAAAAGATATTTACTGATCCATACTGAGAAGAAGGGGACAGTATTTTCCTGAAGAAACAGTATTCCTGTAGTCCAATGTAAGGACAAAAGATGTGTACTATTTATGCATGAGAACCATAATTTGTTAATAGTGTCAAGTTAGTTACTGACAGTGCATAGGAAGCAGCCTGAATGACTTTTTCCAGTCAGCCAGGAATTTAAACAGTCAATAAATTATTCACATTTTGTCATGCAAACTGGGCAGCGTAACAGCCTGATAACAACACAAAAAAAATGAAGTAGAATTATTGTTTCAGTTGAATTGCCTGTATCTTCAACTGAATTAATTTTAAATGTCTTCACTGTAACAGTTCTTTCATGTTTAAAGAAAGCATAACTAATTCCCCAGCTGTTACATTTATATATATATATATGCACACATATACAGACATAGCTATGTATGTATGTACACTATGGCCTCAGAGGTGCCAGAAAAGTGATCTTTATACAGACAGGAATTGAACTAATAAGTTGAACATTACACAACTCATTAGGTGAAGGTATCTCTTCTTTTTCTTTTCACTAAAATCAAATTCAACCAAGGAATTAATTCTAACTTAACCCCCATTATTACAAGGAAAACAGTCTTTTTTAAGAGATTGTAAAAAAAACATTTACTGAACATTAGTTTGAACTCTAACAAAATAATTAAAAGCAGAATGACTCCCTATGTCTTCTTTCCCCATTTACTTCCTGGAAGAGAAAGCTTCTATAAAACTTACATCAATAAATTAATATTCAAATTTTAATTTGAAGGAAATGAAGATCATTTTAAACAAAATAATACAAATATTAAAGCCTCTAAGTAACAAGATTTGTTTCAGGAATGTTAAAATTAGAATGGAAGTGTCTTTGAAAAAGACAACTCTGTGAGAGAGCCACATTTAGAATGTGTTAAGAAATATTAGTTTTATTTAACCAGTTTTCACAGCTGAATATTTATTCTATAAAAACTTTACAGATTGTACAGTTTATATATAGTTCAAACTACTAGAACAAAGAAGTAGGTCCCACAGATGCAAAAATACTGTACCAATCCAAGGTAAAGGCAGATTTACACACTGTACAGCTCTCCACTGGGAAGGGGAGGTGGGTCAGTTCCAAGTAAAAAGTTCAAAACTGTACAAAAATAAGGTTTGATTTCTTTTTCATTCTTCAGAATACATTCAATAAGATTGCAAGCACAGATACCCAAGTAATAATAGATATCTGCAGTCAGGAATCAATAACCACTCCTGAAAGGAATGCAAAATAGGTCTATTTACACAGGGCACTCTTTTACACCATACTGCATATAGTGTATCTTTCAAATAATAAAAAAAGCATAGACAAAGAACATTAAACATCTAATATAAGGTAGTTTTTTTTAAAGTTTTTTTTTTTTACTTAATAGTGTGCCAAAAGAAATTTAACTTATTAAATAATATATTCTAAGTGAACCTAAAATTTATGAACATAAAATGCATTTTTGGTGTAATACATCAATTAAACCAGCAAATATGAAAAAAAAAGAACAAAAAACAAAACCCAAACTGTATATAAAGTAGTATTTTCACCCAGCAACAGAAGCACTTACGTAGTTATTAAAAAAAAAACCCAATAAAATAAACAAACAAACAGAAAACCCCAAACAAACAAACAAAAAAAAAAAACCAACTCAGAGAGGCTTTTTAAAAACCCACTAAAACTAACTTATAACTTAGGATATTCATACATAAGATATTCAGTGATTCACTAATACTGCAAAACAAGCTTTATTGTGTTGTTTTTTTCTCCTTCCCCCTTCCATTTCCCTCTGGCTCTCCCTCATTCCCTTTCCCTAAGAGACAGTGGTTTCTTCATGCTGTCTAGGTAAGAATCAGACATACTCCTGTGCCCCTTCCTCCCACCCCTCTATACCTCCCCCCCAAAAAATATCAGAGTGTTTCCTTAGTATTAATCCTGAGCACACTCTCTTTTTGGGGATACATGTTATTTAGGCAACCCTAGTTACCCCAACATTTCAGAATGTTCCATTACTTGAGGTATTTCAACCTTCTTCTGCAATGCCTTTTCTCTAAGCTGACTCATTGGGCAGAGAAAGCAAGGGCTGGCTAATACCCGTTTCAATTCTGTATTCTCATGAAAAAGAAAAGCATTATTCCAGACTTCCCTGCCACACAGA